CTTATATATAAACTCTTTATAAGCCATCTATAAGGGGAGCCTAAAGTGGTACCAAAAAAATCTTGCACAGTAAATTGCCCTTAGCAGTTTTTCATACATTTTACTGAACATAGATAAAATATTCTCCAACACACGTGAGAAAATCCAGCCATCATTTGTCAGCTGAAAGACTTTTTTGCAGGATTGTTCAAATTTTCTTAAGAAGAGAAGAAGAATTCTGTCAGCTTCATTCATTCTGGACTTTATTATTTGACTCATTAGCGCAACTAGTGGTTGAACATGGAACTGCATCCACCATCATCACTACCAGGTAGACAGATGAGTGACAGGACAGGGGCACTTCAGGGGGCCAGTCAGATTTCAGCTGGGGCCAATGCCCCTGTGGCCCCGCCCCTAGAACCGCCCCTGGGTCCTGCCTACTGATGTGTTTTTAATACAAACATGTGTGTTTTACCAAGTGAGTTGTTGAGAGCAAGAGAATTTAGACATGAGGTGAATAAGACGTACCCAAGTCTCGAACTATCTCCTTCACCATGTATTTGAGCATGCCTTTGCTGTGCTCAGGATGGAGGAAGGACAGGAACTCCTCTTCGTCCAGCCTCTGGTCAGGTGGGGGGCTGTCAGCCTGAACCCAGCGGTCCCTCAGGCTCTCCAACACCTCCTGAGCTGCAGAGGACCGAGGAAAACGTCAACTCTCAGCTTTAACAACAATCCATCTGTTCCAGGACACAACTCTAACATCTGAAACTTACTTTCCTCGTCCAGTTTCAGATCTTCCTTCAGCTTTATTTTATCTGCCATCTCCTTTTCATCAAAACCCTTGCTAGCTAGAAATTTGATCTTGTATTCGTTCCATGTCACGTAACCTGCAGGCAGATCGTAGGGGTCAGGTGAATCAGACTGGGACTGAACCGTGAAACAGTTCTGGGACAGAAACTCACCATCTCCGTCCGGATCAACGGCACTGAAGCTGTTCTTGTTCTCCTTCATGGCCTCCTGAAAGTGCTCCTTGGTCTTCTCCATGATCCACTCCTGTAGCTCCTTAGAACTCACACTGTTATCCCTGTTCACGTCCACTCTGTAGGGTGAGACAGAACCAAAGAAACTGGGTTAGTTCAGTACCAAACAGAATCCCTGTTAGAAGACTTGGGTCAGACAAAGTATGAGAACATGACTGAAGGTATCAGAGGTGTTGTTGATTCTTCAGTTCATGTTCTGAATGTCACAAACGTTAGCTGTGTTTCCAYTGCAAATGTGCGCAAAACTTTGTCGATATTCTGTTAATGTTGAAAAAACACAGTTTCACAACTGCAGTGTTTCCATTAAGTAAGAAATGTTATTAAAGTCA